AAAGCGGACATACCATAGAGACTATGTAGAGGTTTTTAAAGATGCATCTATATGGCTGAAGGATCCGGTCATATACTAAAGGTCAAGATGGGTTGGGATACGTTTTTCTCATTTAACAGAGGGTTGATTTCCTTTCCAAACTTGACGAAAGGATCATTATATAAAAAAACATTGTTGAGGTGACAGTTATCCATTAAGGAGGCCAGGTCTTCTCCGCATCCATCCAATCTAAAGTTCCTTATAGAGCAATAACGTTGGAAGAGGTGGAGAGGTGAGCCGCACAAAGGGAGTATTGATTCTCTAAAAAGGTAAGTAAAACATTTTTTATTTTATTTTTATGGTGCCTGGGGTGGGGGTCCTGTATAGAACTAGAGAGGGGGGCACTTTAACATTGGAATAAAGATTTGTATTCATAATGCTTTAGTGTTCCTTCCATTTTAATGCTGTGTTTTCTACAACAGCTGTTAATGCGAAGGATCTTCTGGTGGTGGAGCAGCCTGAAGTCACTGAAAGCATAGCTGGGACATCTGTGACCATCAACTGCACCTTTAGAATAAAAAGTTCCTCTTTCTCCATAAGATGGTATGTGGGCTGTGATAATAGCACACCATTGGAGACTTTACCTTCTTACCGACATAGAGTGACCTTCCAGAATCTCTACCGACAGCTGACCCTATCCAACGTGACATTGAGTGACACAGGAACATACTATTGTCATGTGGAATTGGCCAATGGGAAAATGGGAACTGGAAATGGAACTAGACTGGAAGTGTCACCAGTATACTGTGATTCAGGTATTTCCGAGCTCATTAAAAAACATGTAATACCATTGTGTGTTAAGTGATATTATTTAACTCCTGAAGAACCAGGGTTCACTTACCAAATCAATTTAGTGGCAGCAAGGAATCTATTTTACACAGCTGGATTTCAGCAGATGCCTTTAGACTATTCCACAGTTTTAGAGTGGATTGGTTAGAGTGACTCTCACACAGATATATGTGAATATTAAAACACTGTATCAATCTGAAATAAAAGTACAGAGGGCAATGGAGTGTGCTGACTCAGTAGTGGAACTAATACATGTTGCAAGGGTTTTTTAGGGCCCACTGTGGAGCAAGACTGGCCAAAAAGATTCTAAACTTTCATGAATCAAAGAAGGTGTCTGTGTGTTTGAACATAAGCAGTTTTTTTTGTATGTGGTAGATGTATGTGAATGTATGTGTGTATTTGTGTGTCATGTTGGCATTTGAATGCAGTTTGCAATTATGTGCAAGTTTTGGAGTTTGAATGCAGGGATGTGTTTGTTATTGTGTTGATGTTTGAATGCAGTGTGTGTGTGTGACAGTTGTAGTATGTAGATGAATGCACACATACACATACAGGTCAAACACACACACTGCCACAGAAACACAGATACACACATACACAAACATATATACACACAAGTTAAAATTTCAATATTTTATCCACCTTCCTGTTTCCATACATTTTGATTGCAGGAAGGTAGTGGTGGCTTCCTTGCTGTCAATGGCACTGCTGGCTATGCCTGATGTTCCCTGGGGTCCAGTGGGACTGCTGGTTGGGGCTAGTGCAGGCTCTTCTTCCTCTCCACCTGCCCCCATGCCTAACCCATGAGGATCCGCTGTAAGCTTGGAGAAAGTGACCTGCACATGCTTCCCCCATCACTGCTGATCAAAATGCCCATCGGCTGGCCCTGGGTGTGAGGGTCACCTGATGGGCCTCCTCACACATGGGCCTGATTGGGGTGCCACTTGGAAACCCACTCCTCTGATAAAATCTGTTTCCACTGTACTTCTCACATCCTAATGACGATATTGCACAAGAGTGGGTTTGATACTTGCAGAAAACCTTTAAATTCGACATTTACAATGAATTCACTTTGAATTGCTGACAATTTTACCACATGACAGGAGGCTTCCTATTTTGCATTAAACTCTCTTTACTAACTCACGCAGCAGTAAAGAAAAGTGAAACATTAACCAATCAAAATGCAATAGGAAGCATGGTATTCACAGTGATGAGGCTCCTCCCCCTCTTTCTTTACTGCTCCATCAGCAGACAGGTCAGAGTTTTTGGCTCTTCCCTAATTGTATTGAATTATGTTACCTTTATGATTTCTCCTTATCTATGGATGTTTATTTTCTGGGTTTTTTTCTTCCCTATCTGTCTCTTAGGACTTTCTGTTCCCCCCTTTTACATTGTACTATCTCCTCTCAGGGATTCTTCCCTGCTGCTTTCCCTCCCTGCCCTCAGGGACTTGTATTTGTATACTGCTATCTTTCCTCAGATCTACATTTATATTGATTTTATTTTACTTATTGTATTTTATTCTACTTTATTTTATTATCTATCCGTTTTTGCTTTTTTCATGGCACTTTCCGATCTCACTTTCCCTGAGATCGGATCGTTGGTTTTGTCCTTGAGGGTAACGCTCACCCTCCACTCTCACCGTTCTCCTCGCGGCCTCTCAGCCGCAATCACTGGCCGGCACGGCGGGAAACCCCTTTCCCGTCTCCCCGGTGGCCATATTGGATCTCGCGTCTCGTGAGATTACCTGCGGCCGACCACAAATACTAGCTCACCATCCAGGCAGGGGTCAGCAAATTTGTTCTTTGCCTATTTAACTACCATAACAGCTGTCAGCCCCACACAGTGGGGAACCACTATACCCTTACTGATATCAGGTGGATTTTGTGCCACCTTTCTATTTATATAACTGGGTGAGGCCCTTTAAGTACTGCTGCTTTCAGGTGGATTTTGTGCCACCTATATATGTATATAATCAGGTGTAACCTTGTAATCTTCTATTCAGGTGGATTTTGTGCCATCTTCCTATACATATACATATCTGGGTGAGGCCCAGTGCAAATCCCAATCTACCCTGCTGGGGAAGCTGGTATTCTTATACCACATACTTGGATTTTACATACCCACCCTGCTGGGGTGCCTGCATTATTATTTTATATATACTTATACCCTGCTGGGGTTCTCCAGGTGCCACTGGTACCATCACTTACTGTGATCCACACCACAGACTGACCCCTAGCCCAACGTATACCCTGTGCCAAACAATATTCTGAGCTATTCCGGTCCTGCTCCTAAAACACTATGGATACTCCCCAGAACCCTGTAGATTTTCAGGCAATGATTACTAAAGCCATCTCCGCATCTATGGAGAAAGCACTTTCCAGGGTAATGACGGCATCAGCCGATCTAACCATGTTTTTCCACTAAAGCCCCACACCATGACTATGATTCTGAGGCTTCAGAAACGCAGACACAGGCTGACCCACGACCTACCAAATGCCACTGGAAGGGCGAAACGGGGAACGTTATCCCGGGCAAAGGCAAGGCTCCAACCAAACGCCATAAGCCGACCCAACCTACCCCCACCCCACAACACTGCTACTCCTTGCATGAGGGGGAAGAACACCCACACTCCATGGCTGTGCTGGACGAGTGGCAGGCCGCGGATTCCGATTCGCATGATGATGAGTGGGGCTCGGACGTTGGATCCCATACCGGTTTCTTACGAGGCACGTTCCTGGATGACATCCAACTACCAGATGACCTTGCGTCTGCCCAAGAGGAAGGGGAAGCCATCCTGGACCCCACTGGACAACGCCTCTTCGACCGTCGTAATATCAGACACCCACGCTCGGTGGACTGGACCCCCAAACACCTCTCCAAATTTTTGCACCTGTGGCTCCGCAAACCACTGGACCAAACGGTGCGCAACTGCCTACGCTACGAATGCCCTCGCCCTTTGTTTCCTGACCACGTAACTCAGACCCAAAATTTGACCAGGTCATGGCCGTGACCCCCGTTGAGGCGTGGAAAAAGGATTCCACAGAGTCCAGGACAAATTGCTGGACTCCATTGGTCCACTTGCCCGCATCATGTCTTTGGCGGACGACGCTTTTACATGGGCTGACCAGTTTGATACCGGCATAAAAGAATGGGCTCATGACATAAGGGAATGGGCACAAAGGTGCTTCTGTTTTGTTGGTAACACCAATGTAGCCCTCTCCTCTGAGAGGCGTAAAGCAGCATTGCTCCGCATTGACGGTAAGCTGGTGGAATTGGGCACCAAGGAGTTAGGATCGCTGGCACAGGGCAAATTGTTTGGTGAAGCTTTCCTGAATAAACTGAACAAACATGTTAATATATTCACGTCCCTTAATAAAGCTCAGTCTTCGATGAAACGGGTCTTCAGGGGCCGTGCAGCCAGCCGCTTCTGGCCATCAGGCGCCCGTTCCCACAGACCTCAGCCCTTCTACCCAGAAGTGGGCTTCAGACAACCCTTCTCCTACACCAGAGGAGCCGACCGAGGCAGAGGACCATGTGGTCGTGGCAGAGCACACTTCCCTACAGGTGAGCAAACCTTTGACTTCGGTACCATTTTCTCACATAAAGCAGACGTATGGATCCACCAGATGGTGCAAGGCTACATCATCGATTTCGTGGGCCTCCCTCGCCAGACCACCCCTCCGCACCCTATTCAGTGCTCTGCGGAGGATCGCCAACTCATCGACGGCAAGAGCTCCTGACGAAAGGAGCGAACGAATCCGCTCCCAGCGAAGGGGGCTTCTTCAGCAATATTTTTCTGGTGAAAAAGAAATCTGGAGATTTCCGACCCGTCATAAATCTGAGGAGGCTCAATGCTTACGTAATGTACAGGCATTTCAAGATGGAAGGCATCCACCTTCTAAGAGACCTCCTTCAAGACAGGTACTGGTTCACGAGACTGGACCTCAAGGACGCATACTTATCAGTACCCGTCCACGCCTCCTACGACAATTCCTCAGGTCTCGGTGGCACGGCCTACCATGGCAGTTCACATGCCTTCCATTCGGCCTCAGCTCAGCCCCATGGTGCTTCACCAAGCTGCTGAAGCCAGTAGTTGCACATCTACGAACACAAGGCATTCGATGCATTATCTACATGGACGACCTGCTTCTGTTTTGCTCAGACAAGTCCAGACTGACTCAACACACACGATACACCATACAATTCCTGACGTCCCTAGGATTTGTGGTGAACTACCAGAAGTCGGCGATATCTCCAGCCCAAACCATACAATGCTTGGGCTTTGAGATAGACTCCATGTCCAGCACTCTGCGACTGCCAGCTTCAAAGATCACGGCCATCAGAAAAGAATTACGCAGGGTCATTTGCTGCCACTCCATTCCACTCCGCAGCTTGGCGCGGATTGTAGGCCTATTATCCGCCTCCATCCAGGCAATCTTCCCAGGTCCGCTCCACTACAGGGCGATGCAACGACTGAAGACGTCCTTTCTTCGCCAAAACCCTTCCTGCTACCAAACCATCCCGGTAACGGAGGAGGTTCAAACAGGAACTCACATGGTGGTTGGACAACATGGAGGCATGGAACGGCCGGGCCATCTTCGGGAGCACACCCGACACAGTCCTGGAATCGGATGCCAGCCTCTGGGGCTGGGGCGCCACTTGCGAAGGCAGGTCGACAGGCGGCACTTGGACTTCACAGGACCTCGACCTTCACATAAATTGTCTGGAACTCCTGGCGGGGTCGTTTGCAATCCGCAGCCTGGCAAGAGACAGGAAGCACTGTTGCATCCTCCTCCGGATAGACAACGTCTCTGCGGTCCGCTACATCAAGCGCTTGGGAGGTGCACGATCCCGACTCCTCTCGGAGATAATGAAACAGATCTTCGACTTATGCCTGCCACGCAATATCTCCCTCATAGCGGAATATCTCCCGGAAGAAACGAGCCTGACTGCGGACTGGTTCTCGCGCCACTGGCGAGACAGCAGCGACAGGAGACTGGACCCACAGATCTTCCAGCGCCTCTCGATCAGGAGAGGTCCCTTCCACCTGGATCTGTTTGCATCACGCAACAACAAACAGACAACCGACTACTTCAGCTGGCTCCCGGACCCGGAGAGCAGGGCAGTGGACGCGTTCCTCCAACCATGGCCAACCAGGGGAGCATATGCCTTTCCCCCGTTCGCCATGATAGCGAGGACGATTCAATGGCGGGGCCAACCCTGGTTCCCGGACCTTCTAGCATCGTCCTCCATGGGGCCCCTTCTCATACCATGCTATCCAACGCTCCTCACGGACCCGAGAGGCAACCCACATCCTCTCAACCTGGAGGACCGTCTCACATAGGTGGCTTGGACTCCTTCAGGGGTGCCTGGCACACCAGCGAGTTGTCGCAGGCAGCTAGAGATCTCATATGGGATTCATGGGCTCCAGGAACCAGACGATGTTACCTATCAGCTTGGAATTCCTGGTCCACTTGGTGCAGTGAACGGAACATCGATCCCTTTACTGCCCCTGTAACGGCCATGCTGAACTTTCTTTCCTTTCTTTTTTCCGCGGGTCGTTCTTACCGCTCTCTAAACATTGTGCGCGATTTCGATGGCCCACGTCCCGGTCAGGGGGATCCCCATAGGGAAAGACCCCCTGGTCTGCAGACTTCTGGGGCATTCAACTACAAAGGCCCCCTAAACCCAAATACTCCCGCTTATGGGACGTTGACGTTGTCCTACGATTCCTGAGGGACTGGCCGGACAATGGCTCTCAGCTTATATGATTCTCCTGCTCTGCCTAGTCTCGTTCCGCCGGGTATCGGACTTCCGAGCATTCGACATCGACGCCTTTTCAGTCTCCCCAGAGGGCGTTACCTTTCGAGTCTCGAGTCGGACGAAATCGGACTCTACGTCGGTCTTCTACCCGTTCTTCCCTTCTGATCCACAGCTCTGCGTGGTTTCTACCCTACGTCGGTATGTGGAAGTCACGTCTCCGCTCCGGGTCTCCTCTTCGGGACAGATTTTGGTGTCTTACATTAGACCACACATACCAGTCTCGGTTACTACCCTAGCCAGGTGGATAAGATGGATTCTATCACTGGCTGGAGTGGAAGAGGTCTTCGGAACCTTCGGAGTCTTCGGCTTTCTCGGCAGGAGCTTCGCTGACTGACATCCTACATTCCGCGGACTGGTCGCGAGAATCTACCTTTCGGACGTTTTACCTCCGCCCGAGCTCGGGAGCAGCCTCATCTCTCCTGCATCAGCGTTAAAAATGCAAAATAGGAAGCCTCCTGTCATGTGGTAAAATTGAAGATTATGCTAGCGTTAGTGTACTTATAATCTTAATTTTAGTAATGACAGGAGGCGAGTATTTTCCCGCCCGTCCCTCCCTTGCGAGGTAAGACTCAAGTAAGTATATTTGCCTCCGCTATCTCCTCTGTCTCTACCTTGATTCAGATTTTGTTTATATTTTCTCGCTCTGGAGATTTATAGTCAGTAGACTTGGGTTGTTTTACTTACGCTGAATCTGCTATCTATCGTTGTAGTCGATAATGTGATATTCCTGTAACTAATCGTGGCTTATTAACATTACTTTAGCCAGTTTACAGACCGGTACCTAACCCATTTCACATTCTCTTTCAGTGTAAATCCGTGGCTTTACAGCTCATTCTCAGGATGGACACCTTTGCAACTTCTCCCATTCCATTTTCGTTTCTTGGGAAGTCGCCCGTTGGCGCATGTTACTGGACTTTGGACTCTATGGAACTCTATTCATGATGTCGCTTTCGAAAGAGGGGGAGGAGCCTCATCACTGTGAATACCATGCTTCCTATTGCATTTTGATTGGTTAATGTTTCACTTTTCTTTACTGCTGCGTGAGTTAGTAAAGAGAGTTTAATGCAAAATACTCGCCTCCTGTCATTACTAAAATTAAGATTATAAGTACACTAACGCTAGCATAATCTTCAATTCTCACATTAGTAAATTGCTCTAACATTAATAGCACATATGAGAAACACAAAATGCAAATAGTAATGTAAATAAAACCTCTGTCTATGTAGGTGCCACCTATTAGGATATTTATTATTATTATTGCCATTTATATAGCGCCAACAGATTCCGTAGCGCTTTATAATATTATAAGAGGGGGGGATTTAACTATAAATAGGACAATTACAAGAAAACTTACAGGAACGATAGGTTGAAGAGGAGCCTGCTCAAACAAGCTTACAGTCTATAGGAGGTGAGCTATAAAACACATTTCTATGTAACTTCTCAATTTCAGAAAATGAAAAAGAACCAGATGTCGTCATGTTATACGGCGTTATAGGATTGGAAACTTGTGTCATTATTATCCTGCTGGCAGCGCTAACTAAAATCCTTTCCCGGGGTAAGTCTGCTATAACATCTAGCCTTTATAAATATTCCCGTGTCTGGGCTCTAGAGATTTAGGGGTTAGGAATTAAAGATAATTGATGGTGAAACTGAAAAGAAAAAAAAAATGTACCTAGGCTTTATCCCCAGCACAGACAGAGTCTCAGCAGTCTCTGAGCAGCCTCTGTTATGGAGATGCAAGCGCACACGCAGTCACGACTTTCCAGTGCTTCTCAGTGAGCTGTAGTACATTCTGTTAGCTAATAAACAGTTACAAATGACAGACTCTCACTCTAGACACATAAAGCATATCAGCTTGCTGAAAGCAATTTATTTGTCTGGAGTATTCCTTCACTACTAAGCTGTTTGCAAAGAAAACACCCCCAGAATCCGAGTAATTTGGTGTTTCACAAAACTGGAAACATTATCTAAGTCAGAGATTTGACCCGTTCAGCTAGTTTGTCCTTAAATTTGGAATTCACTTTGAATTCTCACTTTAGTGAATAACCCTGATAGATTTGCCCTTCAGACTACATTTGAGAGCTACTCTGATTTAAAAAAAAAAAAAATCAACTTCCTTTTAAAGGAACACTACAGGGTCAAGAACACAAACATGTACTCCTGACCCTATAGTGTTTAGTCCACCGTTTAGGTGGCTTGCCACCTATAAAAGTTTAAAACTCACCTTTTTCCCAGCGCCGCGCGGATCTGCAGATGCTGGCTCCTCCCACTTTGTGACATCATCATAGGGAAATCATTGGATTGGTTAAAATTGGCACGGGGTGGGGCCAAATGCCATTTTGGCCAATCAGGACCTCCTCATAGAGATGCATTGAATCACTGCATCTCTATGAGGACAATTCAGTGTCTCCATTCAGAGCGTGACCCAGGAAGCACCTCTAGTGGCCATCTAAGGAGTGGCCACTTGGAGGTGTCCCTAGAGGCAATGTAAACACTGCCTTTTCTCTGAAAAGGCAGTGTTTACATGACAAAAGCCTGAAGGGAACTATTATACTCACCAGAACAACTACATTAAGCTGTAGTTGTTATGGTGACTATAGTGTCCCTTTAAGTGTCTCTGTAGTCATTAACTTTAACTTAATGAAGCAGTTTTGGTCTATAGATCATGCCTCTGATGTTTCACTGCTCAATTATCTGCCATTTATTAGTTAAAATCACTTTTGTTTCAGTTTATGCAGCCGTAGCCACACCTTCATCGGCTGTGACTGATATAACCTACATGGAAAAAAATGGTTTAATTTTCAATCAGATGTAACTTACCTTAAACATTTTTATATCCTGCTCTTTAAATTGAACTTAAATTGCACACAGAGGCTCCTGCAGGGTCTAGCAAGCTATTAACAGAGCAGGAGATGGGAATTTCTAAATTAAACAGACTGTGCTATAAAGGAAGTGTAAACATTAGATGACTCTTTACAGGAAGTGTTAGGAAGGCTGTGTAAGTCACATGCCAGGAGGTGTCACTAGAGCTGCATAAACAAATTGATTTAACTCCTAAATGGCAGAGAGCTGAGCAGTGAGACTGCAGAGGTATGATCTATACACCAAAAATGCTGGATTAAGCCAAAGTGACTATAGTGTCCCTTTAACTCTTCTTTTTGCTTAATTGATTTTCGTCCTGCAGTATATGATTTATCCATATCGCAGGGCAGAGTTTTTTAAAGTGATGAAATCGGCCTGAGAAATAAGTGTTTCTATGAAATCTGCCAACCCTATAGGTAGAACAGCTGCTAGCTCCAAATTAGACCTGTTATTTACAGACTGAGTATGAGATGAGGGGTGAGATAGACAAAGAGGGAGAACATTGTCTGATGAGATATTGTCTAAACATGGTCAGTTATGGGGAGATGGGGTGAGCGGTCATTCAAGGAATGCAGTTTATTTTTTAATGCATTCACGGTGGCTCTTTTGTAGTGTCTAACACTATTTACAGCAAAAATAATCAATGCAGGAGGTTAAGTTTCTAAGGATCTTCAAAGGAAATAATTCTACGTTGATTCCATTTCCAACCATTGGGGTAGTAATGGATAAAACGCGTTAGGCCTAATCATCCCCCAGCTCTGGTCTTTTGTAAAATTGCCAATTGGATTCTACTCGGTTTATTATTCCAAATAAGTTTTAAAAGTATCGAATGTATTAATGTGAAATATGATATGGGGATTTTGAGAGAGATGGCTCTAATTAAATATAGTATTTTTGGGAGGAAATTCATCTTAATCGAGTTAATTTTACCTAACCAAGAGATTTCGAGATCCCACCAATTTTCTATGTGTTCTTTAATTTTTGGCCAACTTTTTCTCAAATTGCAATCATGCATCCTTGATAGGTTCTCACATAAGTTTATGCCCAAGTATGAAATATAAGAATCTCTCCAATTGCAGTCTTGGGAAGAAAAAAGAAAGAGCTTGTGATTTGTTAGTGTTTCATTTATAAAGGGAGATATTGCCGAATTCTTCTAGGATAGACATTAGCAGTGTGAGGACAATGGGTTTTTCAATGATATACCCGATTTTGACTCTGCATATTGGTCCTCTCATTCGATTAAACATATTGATAATCTTATAAAAAATAACAAATTCATACCCTTTAACCCATTAAAAGAAAGTAATAATTTAGATAATTTATATGCCCCAATTCACAAAAAATTGATTGATTGGATCAGTTTAAAATTTGATGTTTCCAACCTGAATCTGAATATAAGATCAATATTATTCTCACCCAGAGAAAACATTTATATATCAGATCCGGGAAGGAAACATACCATATCTATTTTTTACTCAACTTTTGAAAACAACAACAATGAGAACTCAGACTTCATGCTACATTGGGAGTGGGATGTAGGCCTGGCCTTTAAACGGAATGATTGGAATGGCTTTATTTTATCATTAAAAGGTACTACACAGTGCGTCTCTCATTATGAATCCCATTATAAATTATTATTCAGATGGTACCTAACCCCCTAGAAATTACACAAATTCAAATTATTAAATTCAGACAAATGTTGGAGGCATTGTGGACAAGAGGGGTCCATAGGCCATATTTGGACGTGCCCTTTAATAAAACAATATTGGAATTTGATTCAAAAAAATAATTAACACAATTACAGATTAAGTTATAATCCTAACCCTTGAAATTTGTTTGTTTAAAAAAAACCCTCCCCCAAATTTACCCAAAAACAGATAAATTATATTAAAATAATTATTTATTAATTGCAGCCAACTCTTTAATACCCAAATATTGGAAATCTACAAATATCCCATCCATTAAAGAAGTCTTAAATTTAGCAATAGAAAAAAAAATGTGAATTGTTTTTTAGACCAAAAACTATAAAAAACATTAATTTTGCATCATGAGTGGGCAATGTGGGAAGAGGACATAGTAAAAAAGTACTATGACCCCCAGTTGACCAACATGAGTTTTTTGTAATTTATTTATTGTTATTTTTATTATAGTGCATTTTTATCTATTTCTATTATCTTCTGTACATATACTTATGATATCATAATAGTTTTTTATTTTATGTAAAAACATATGTGTGTTTCTCTTTAAGTATTATGGATGTATATATTATTATTGTTATTTCCCCCATATTATAATCTATATTCAATTTTTAAAAATCATTTCTGTAACTTATGTCTTTTAAAACACAATAAAAATTATTTGAAAGGAAATTATTCTATGTGTGTAAAAAAAAAAAAAGCTAGTTGCCTAGTGCCCCGTTTCCACTGAGCGGTACGGTTGAGGTCGGTATGGTCTGGTACACTATTTTCAGTGTTTCCATTATGAAAGTGGCCCATACAACCAAACCAAACCGCGCCATTCCTGGGCCCCCTTCAGATATAGGTCCATAGGAAATGGTATGGTACGGTTAGGACGGAGCTACTGGCGTCACGCTATACAATCCATTGATTGGCGAACAGGAAAACGTCAATGCTCACGACAAATGATACGCTAGGCTTTGGGTCTAAATCCCGCATGCCCACTGGTGGTCCGACTTGCAGTCACCTGAATAGGCTTGACCATTCTAATCCTTCCGAACCGTACCGACCCGAACCATACCGCTCAGTGGAAACGAGGCATAATATAACTAAAGTGAAATGTGTCATAGTGAGAGTTATAGTCCAACAACCAATAGACTATGCAAGCTCCTGTCTGGTTAATGGCAGCTCAATTAACTGTACGGTTTCTTTTATAGGTCCGTCTGACTCTAAGAACAAGGTGGGTAGACTTGTTATTTCAGTATCATCTTTATAAGAAAGACCATCTCATTAGAAGGGTTTGTATAACTAAAATGAAGAGGTCCAACAAATATTGGCTGTGAAATCCAGTGAGTGAGACTGCTTTCTAATGAGTGAGACTGCTTTCTAATGAGTGACACTGCTTTCTAATGATGATTTTAAAAAAGCACAATGTGATGTTATAATGATGTATATTTGTGTAATGATACATACTTTAATAACCTACCAATATACAGTGCCAAGATAGAAATGGTGTTACAATTTAGCAACATAAAATATAAAAACCAAGAACAAATCATAGTGTAATCAATTTAAAATAGGCTAAGACAACATTTAAATGCTCACTTTCAATTGGAAAAGTGAATAAGTATATAAAAGCACAATATATTCCCAGTTCTAAGGCAGTGACATTACTGTTGCTTTAACCAGACAATATTGATACAAACATTTTAATTCTCTCTCAATTCTCTCTCAATGTACAAGTTGAGTTTGCTTCCAATATATTTTGACTGTGTCCAAACTATTTTGTGCAAGTCTGATAAATGTCAAATTTGATTTCAGTCAGCACGCCATCTCGATTATAAAGTTCAGCTGATCAAAATATGGATGATATTAAATTGTGGAAAAAAAATATAGAAAAAAATGTACGCCAAAGCTAGTTGATACATTTTTATTTATTTTTTTGCCAAAAAGTTAATAAAATATTTCTAGGCTTGTGGGGTAGGGAGCATATTTACATAGCTCAACCAATTCCTGTTCCCCTATTGGCATCACATAATCTCTATAGTTTTTTTTAAAGATTTTTTTTATCATGAGTCACTGGAGGTTTAAAAATTGTGATGCAATTCCAAGATGGCTGCCTCCATACTGAAAGTAATTTCAGCTAAGTTTAGTTTGCTTACATGAACATAATATAAGTCTATCTGCATTATATTTTAAGCCAATTTATAGAAAGAGAATACAAAGTAATAATTTTGCTCTAAGAGTCAAGGCAGCAAAATATCACCCAGAAGACAATTGGGCATTTCAACAGTTTATTTGAAAACATTGACCATAACGTAACCTTTTTTTTTTCATAATTTTTTCCATAAAATGTTGTGCTGCCCTTTTGCCTTCAAAGTGGTTTATTCACTAAATAAATAATGGTGGTAAATTCATGATGGGATTTAAAAAAAAAAAAAAAAAAGTCTTAAAGGAACACTATAGTCACCTAAATTACTTTAGCTAAGTAAAGCAGTTTTAGTGTATAGATCATTCCCCTGCAATTTCACTGCTCAATTCACTGTCATTTAGGAGTTAACCCCTTAAGGACCGAGGACGGTTCAGGACCGTCATCGGCATTTTTGCCTTGCCGACCGATGACGGTCCTGAACCGTCCAAACGGTCTGGGGCTACTTACCTGATCGCCGTCGTTCCCCCGGCGGCGATCAGTGTTCCTCCGGTTGTGGGGAGACTGCCTGCAGCCCAGACAGTCTCCCCACGGCAGATTAGGACCCCTGTGGCCATGTGATCGCTTAACACAGCGATCACATGGTCACAATAGGTGTCCATAGTGCTGCCTGCAGGGGGACTGTCTGTGCTGACAGGCAGTCTCCCTGCTAGTGTAAAATCAAAAAATAAAATTAAAGTTAATGGTAATAAAAAAAATAATAATAATTATATATGTATAAATATGATATATAGACATATATTATATCTATATAATATATGTCTATATATCATATATATAATGTCATACTAAGTGTATTTTTATATTAATATGTACTTATATTAATATAAAATACACTTATAATTAAATTACACACGTATATATATAATATATATAATAACTATATATATTGTATATATATATTATTATAAAATATAAATAATAAGTAATTTAAATTAAATAATTTTTTTTTAAAAATAATAATAAAAATTTAAAAAATTATATAGCTATATGAAATTTTTATTCTAACTGTATTTTAAAATATACATATATATTTATATCAAAATATACTTAGAATGAATTTGTATATATATATATATATCTATGTATATAAAAATAAATAAAAATAAGAAATATACATACGTCCATATACAAAATTACATAAATTATATAAATATACACGTAGACTTCAAATATATAAATATGCATATATATTTAAATTCTAAGTGCGTATTTATGTAATATTTTTACATAATTCAGTAATTTTATTGATTGCAATTTGAGGGACCTGCCTGCCAACCCAGGCCGAAATTCCAGAGAATTTAATTTGCTAGCACTGTATTTTACCCTGTAGCGTTCTACGACACCCTAAAACCTGTACATGGGGGGTACTGTTTTACTCGGGAGACTTCGCTGAACACAAATATTAGTGATTCACAACAGTAAAACATATCACAGCGATGATATTGTCAGTGAAAGTTACTTTTTTTGCATTTTTCACACACAAACAGCACTTTTACTGATGGTATAATTGTTGTGATACGTTTTCCAGTTTTTAAACACTAATATTTGTGTTCAGCGATGTCTCCCGAGTAAAACAGTACCCCCCATGTACAGGTTTTATAGCATTTTTGAAAGTTACAAGGTCAAATATATGGGTCAAATATATTTACATTGAAAATGGCCAGGTTTGGTTACGTTGCCTTTGAGAGCGTATGGTAGCCCAGGAATGAGAATTACCCCCATGATGGCATACCATTTGCAAAAGAAGACAACCCAAGGTATTGCAAATGGGGTATGTCCAGTCTTTTTTAGTAACCACTTAGTCACAAACACTGGCCAAAATTAGCGTTCAATTTAGTTTTTTACTTTTTTCACACACAAACAAATATGAATGCTTACTTTGGCCAGTGTTTTCGACTAAGTGGCTACTAAAAAAGACTGGACATACCCCATATTGAATACCCTGGGTTGTCTACTTTAAAAAATATGTACATGTGGGGTGTTATTCAGAGATTTATGACAGATAATAGTGTTACAATGTCACTATTGATAAATTTTAAAAATGTATGTTTTGAAACCGCAATATCCTACTTGTACCTATAGCCCTATAACATGCAAAAAAAAGCAAAAAAGCACGTAAACACTAGGTATTTTTAAACTCAGGACAAAATTTTGAATCTATTTAGCAGTTTTTTTCATTCGCTTTTGTAGATGAGTAAAAGATTTTTCAAGTAAAAGTCAAAAAACATGTATTTTTTTCAATTTTTCATTTTTTTAAAATTAAAATACATGAGATTATATAAATAATGGTATGTAAAGAAAGCCCCTTTTGTCCTGAAAAAAACAATATATAATTTGTATGGGAACAGTAAATGAGAAAGCGGAAAATTACAGCCAAACACAAACACCACAAAAGTGTAAAAATATGCCTGGTCGCAAATGTACAACATCGCAAAAACAGTCCAGTCCTTAAGTTAAATCACTTTGTTTCTGTTTATGCAGCCCAGCCACCTCCCCTGGCTATGATTGACAGAGCCTGCATGAAAAAAATGGTTTCACTTTCAAACAGATGTAATTTACCTTAAATAATTGTATCTCAATCTCTAAATTGAACTTTAATCACATACAGGAGGCTCTTGCAGGGTCTAGCAAGCTATTAACATAGCAAGGGATAAGAAAATCTTAATTAAACAGAACTTGCAATAAAGAAAGCCTAAATAGGGCTCTCTTTACAGGAAGTAAAGTCACATGCAGGGAGGTGTGACTAGGGTTTATAAACAAAGGGATTTAACTCTTAAATGGCAGTTAATTGAGCAGTGAGGCTGCAGGGGCTATACACCAAAACTGTTTCATTAAGCTAAAGTTGTTCAGGTGACTATAGTGTCCCTTTAAATAGCCAAGCTGTAATTTATAGCTGAGTTGGGGATTTTCTTTTTCCAAATAATCAATTTTAGCCTAAATTTAGCAATTCTGTTTTCAATTCAGTTTTGCCCAAGAGGCAAGCTTTAAGTTGCAGATTTTCCCCTTGGCTGGGCCGTTGAAATTGTTTCTACATTTTACAATAAAGAATGTTGCACTTAGACATAATTCATCAAATGTTGCAGCAATGTGTTCCTTCTCTGACTGATTACTCTCTTACAGGAAATGGAGGAGCAGAGCATTGGGCAAGATTTTAACTATGCCGAGATCTGTCTGCAAAGTATTTCTCCACTTGCCAGAAACAGCGAGGAGAACATAATGTATGCACCTGTCAAGGCTGGGAGATGAAATTAACCAACAGTGATGGCACCCTATCAGTGGAGAAATATAGCCTTGATGTAATGGGGATAAAGGGCCTGAAGAATGGAGGAGCTTATAACAATGAAAACAAGAATTCTTGGCTAGCTAACAATACTGCATTATGGGTTTACATTATCTTTGTTATAAAGGTTAGTTGTAAGAAAAATAACTTTTTGTATATTAATATATTCTACTTTGCAGAGTTGAAATTGCTATTGGTCTTCAGTGTATTCAATATTGTGTTTAATTGCTCCCCTCTAGTGTCAGTCGTTGTAATCTCTGAGTATTGTACAGACGGCAGTCAGTCCAAATATTGTACAGACGACCACCAGTCTGAGCATTATAGAGACAGCAATCAGTCCAAGTATTGTGCAATTGGCGGACAGTTTGAGCATTGTACAGAGGGTGGCCAGTCCAAGTATTGTACAGAGTTACCCCAGCAACACTCTGATACATTTCCCAGCGCCTCCACTACAAGTCCTAACCCCCACTACTGCCCCTATTCCACCCCACTACAAGTTCTAACCCTCCACTACTGCCCCTGTCCCACCCCACTACAAGTCCTAACCCCCACTACTGCCCCTATCCCACACCACTAAAAGTCCTAACCTCCACTGCTGCCCCTATTCCACCCCACTACAAGTCCTAACCTCCACTACTGTCCATATCCCTCCCCACTACAAGTCTTAACCTCCACTACTGTCCATATCCTTCCCCACTACAAGTCCTAACCCCCACTACTGCCTCTATCCCACCCCACTACAAGTCCTAACCTCCACTACTGCCTCTATCCCACCCCACTACAAGTCCTAACCCCCACTACTGCCCCTATCCCACCCCACTACAAGTCCCAACCCCCACTACTGCCCTTATCCCACCCCACTACAAGTCCTAACCCCCACTACTGCCTCTACCCCACCCCCAGCAGCCTGAAACTCCGGATAAAGGTTCCAACACTTTTGTGCTCCTTGTGAATGATTTTTTATTGATTGATTTTATTATACATATTTTATAAAATAAAATGTTCTTTTTTATGATCGATATGCCTCTGTACTTTATACTATAAAGACCAACGGCGGATGTTGGACGGAAAGCATTGTCGGTTATAAATTGGACCTATATGTAGAAAGGTTAACTACACATTTCTGCATTTTTATTTTACTTTTACAGTGAATATTATTTTTTTTACATAGTGGATTATATTATTATCCATATGTACCATACTATTTATAGATATTTGTAGTGTGTTACTAGAGTATTATCTGCTCACATCGGCTAGATTTTCCTGCTGCTTCAATAGAAGGGATTTCAGCCGTATACAGATAGGAGCATACAGTTTATAAAACTCTTTGGGACTGCTCCGTTTGATTCTGGTTTTTATATATACCAAGGACTGATGTTAACTTCTCATTTGCTGGTATATATCTAATTGAACTCTCCTTGAATACCCGTTATTTTGGAATATTGAAGTTGATATTGTTATTATTGTAACTGTTATTCAGGTACTGTGATACATTGTTTAGCAGACTTACCATTCCCGCAAACTTTTTTATTTAAGCATTGGGGTTTTATTATACTCACTCTAATATTGCAAGTATTAGTAACTATCTCCTAGTTACAGCAATTCGATTTTTTCTTTTTGCTACTTTTATTTCCTGTTATTCATTTCAGCCTAAGGTGTGGGTTGTTTTACTGGGATTTGAAGAGTTACACACTTATTCTTAGACCATCATTCATACCTTCCTACCTATCCGATAGGAATTATTTCCTTTTTGATGTTTTTTATTTTATGGTATAACCATTAAAACTCGGGAGTTCCACAATGAAGTCTATAGACAAATGAGACCATGGGACACTGGGTACAGGAAATGGTTGTAGTAACCCACATGGAAGTTTATGGGGATCCTTGGAAACTGCGCAAACTGTACAAGCGTCCACATAGTCTTTGAAGGCCACCAGAACGATCTCGAGACAGCGGATGTAGTTTTATTAATACCCGCATGTCCAGCAGTCACATTGTTGTGGAATACCTTTAGTACCTCCTTTCTTTCTAACAAAGGAATAAACAATCTATCTTGAGGTTTATCACAAGGTGCCTGGGACGGGGCTGCCATAATAGTACAAAGAAGAGGGGATGACAAGGAAAGGACAGTGGATGCAATGATACACTCAGGTGGAACAATAGAGAATGTCTCCTGTTCTTGTTCTGATTCAATGTCAAATTGCCTAGATAAGGAGTCAGCTTTAACGTTCTTGGGACCTGGTCTGTAAGTGGTGATAAAGTTGAAGCGAGATAAGAACAAAGACCAACTAGCTTGTCTAGAAGACAGTCATTTAGCATCACCAATATATGCCAAGTTTTTGTGATCAGTAATGATCAAAAGGGGGTCCTTAGAACCCTCCAAAAGATGTCGCCATTCCTTTAGCGCTAGTATAATGGCCAACAATTCTCTGTTACCGATATCATAGTTACGCTCTGCTGGAGATAACTTTCTAGAGATGTAACCGCAGGGATGCAAAGGGGTTTCCTGACTCTCCCTTTGAGAAAGAACAGCCCTTACCCCTGTTTTGAAGGCATCAACCTCCAGTATGAAGGATTTGCTAGTGTCAGGATGTACCAATATGTCAGCAGAGGCAAACAATTCCTTAAGAAGTTCAAAAGCCTCCCTTGCTTCTTTAGACCATATAATACAATTAGCCCCTTTGCGTGTCATATTGGTGATGGGGGCTATCATAGAAGAGAATCCTTTGATGAATCTCCTATAGTAGTTAGCAAACACAATAAACTTTTGAATGACTTTTAACCCATTAGGTAATGGCCAGTGCAGAATGGCTTCTAGTTTATGAAGGTCCATTTGGAAACATTATATCCCAAAAACCGAACCTCTGTTTGGTCAAATATTTACTTTTCAAGTTTACAATAAAGTTCATTTTCAAGCAAAGTTTGCAACACTCATTTGGCAGGTTTATGATGAGTCTGGAGGTCATGGGAATAAATAAGGATATCATCTAAATACACTGATACAAAGGTATAAATGTAGTCTCTGAGAACATCATTGATACAATCTTGAAATACCGAAGGGCATGACAAGGCACTCATAGTTACCACTTCTAGTGTTAAATGCAGTTTTACATTCATGACCCTCCTTAATCCTTACCAAATTGTAAGCACTCCTAAGTTCGAGTTTGGTAAACACCTTAGTGCCTTGGAGTCTGTCAAACAATTCCAAGATAAGGGGAATGGGATAGGCATTTTTTATGGTGATCTTGTTTAATGCCCTATAATCAATGCATGGGCGTAATTCTCCATCTTTCTTAGATACAAAAAAGAACCCCGCACCAGCAGACGAAGAAGACTTATGTATGTGGCCTTTAAGTAAATAATCTAATATAATCCTCCATGATCCTACTCTCCTGTGGGAATATACTGCCCCCCCACCACCCCCCCAGTACTGCATAGGAATTTCGGAAGTCTGAGGTGTAGAAGTAGGCAAAGTAGTCTTTACCCCATTCCAGTATTTCCGCCTTAGCCCAGTCTATATGAGGGTTATGCTTAACAAGCTGTGGAAATACTAATATGATGGGACAAGAAGGGGAAGCAATTATCTGAAATGTGATGGTCTCGTTGTGTAAAGCTTCTATAGTAATACTAATAGGCATGGTTTTGTGGGTAATAAACGGCTGAGAGACAGAGGTCTCCCATCAATAGCTTCCATGGCCAGAGGTGTTGATCTCTCCTTGATAAGTATGGAGTGTCTGTTGACAAATTGCATGTGAGAAATCTACTTTGGGTAGTACCAAGGGACATATCCATCAGACCCAAGACCTGTCCTCTTAAGGTTCTTAGGTGCAGAAGTTTTCCAGACGTATGGGACAAGCACCTCTCATACGTCCCTTCTTGCCACAGTATAAACAAAGGCTCTCCTTTCTCCTAAACTGTTTCTCTGCCTCTGACAGTCTTGCAACCCTCAACTGAATAGGTTCCGGCTCAGACTGTACAGGAAGGCCAGACACAAAAGGCCTGGAGAAGTGAGGCGCCAGTGACATATTCAGGTGTGTGGTTCTATCTCTAGTATTCTCCCTGGTTCTGATACAGTTGTCGATATGCATCACATACGTGATGTAGTCATTTAACCTCCCTGGTAGTTCTTTGGCAGCAATCTCGTCAAGGATAGCTTCAGATAATCCCTCTGCAAAGGCAGTGATTAATCCGCTATTAGTCCAGTCTACCTCAAAAGCCAGAGTGCAAATCCAATAGCATAATCTGAGACAGACCGGTTCCCTTGGTTGATACGCAGTAGGGCAGTAGCAGCGTTGGTCTCCCTACCCAAAGGTTCAAACGTTGGTTTAAATTATATAAGTAATTCCAAGTAATAATGGACAATAGACATAATGGATTGGCCCACGCTAAGACTTTACCTTGCAGGTGGTTCATTAGGTATCCAATTTTGGCTCTATCCATGGGAAAAGACCCATGAGAAGTTTCAAAATAATACTCAATCTGATTCAAAGTACCCTGACATTCATGAATATTGCCTTCAAAATTTGTGGGTGAAGATAGGGTGATATAAGGTGCCCTATATTCAATGTGAGTAGGTACAGTAGGTGGGGGTGTACCTGCCAACGGAAACTCCGGCTGTAAATTAGCCATATGAATTAGTAGTGTATTGAAAGCTTGGGCAAACTGATCCATACTTGGATCATTCTCCTCTAGCTTTCTCTCACAAGCTACTATGTGCTGACACAAATCTGCAGGATCTATGGCCATGTCGTAATGTCAGGATTACAATTGATCCAACACACAGTATTATCACACTTGGGAATAAGGATAACATCTAACTGGACCTTAGAATGGCCGGACTTAACGTACCAGAGAATAGTCGAAATGCTAGCCGAGATCAGGAACACAGAACGAAACACAGTTGCAATGAATAGCCTATAGTCAGAGATACCAGATTTCAGGGAAGTCAGAATGAAGCCAAAGTCAATAACCAAAGAAACATGATCAGGAACACACTCTCGGATTACCAGCAAAGGGAAACCACAACAGGGCAATGATTAGAAGAAATTAGTGAGTTTAAATATCCCTCTTGTGAATCTGATTGGCCGTATCCAGCCTTTGACCCCAAAATGTGCGCGCGTCCTCTGCGTGACGTCATCCGCACGTCGACTAAATGGGCAGACTAAATGGGCAGCAGGGGCATAGCCGGAACCCACTGCCTAGATGCTGCTACTCACTACGTCCATGCTTCCCCAAGAATTAGACACCAGGCAATGAACTGCCTCCACTCCCTCCCACCAGTGCCCATCATGAAAAGATGTAACTGTGTGAGTGACTGTCTGCCCATGACTGTGTGTGTCACTGCTTGCCTGTAACTGTGTGTGTCTGACTGCCTGTAATTGTGTGTGTGTTTGTTTGTATATGTATGTGAGTGACTGTCTGCCAGTGACTGTGTGCGAGTAACTGTCTTCCTGTAACTGTGTTTTTGTTTATTTGTAAGTGACTTTCTGCCTGTAACTGTTACTGATTGTCTGCCTGTAACTGTGTGAGTGATTGTCTGAAACTGTGTGTGTGTGTCTGTAACTGTGTGTGTGTGTATGTGAGTGACTGTCTGCCAGTGACTGTGTGTGAGTAACTGTTTTCCTGTAACTCTGTGTTTGTTTTATTTGTGAGTGCCTGTAACTTTAACTGTGTGTGACTGTTGGTCTGTAACCATGTGTGTGTAACTATCTGCCTGCGACTGTCTGACTGTGTGTGTAACTATGTGTGTGTGACTATCGACTTGTGACTGTCTGTCTGTGACTGTTTTTGTGACTGTCTGTGCCTGACTGCCTGTATCTGTGACTGTCTGCTTGAAACTGTGCGTGGCTGCCTGTAACTGTGTGTGTGTAAAAATGAGCGTCTGACTGTGTGTGTGACTGTCTGCCTGTAACTGTGTGTGTGACTGTCTGCAACTTTGTGTGTGTGATTGTCTGCCTGTGTTGAAATCTGTTCCTAATTTGAATATCTCCAGGTTAAGTGCAAGGACTTTTTTAAGAGTTATTTGTGACTAAGGCGATGCATTTGTAATTAGTCGATATGCAAATGAGGGTCTTATTGGTACACCAATCAGAGCAACCAAACACGACTGGATGTGCCCTTAAGTACCCTTCTCCAAAATGGAGAAAGAAGCATCACGTCCTGAGGAAGCCAGAAACAATCGTCAAAAAGCATAGACGTCACACGCACGACCGGCTTCAGAGCTCGCATTGTCAACAGAAACTGTCTGAAACCAGCGGAGCTGATTTACCGCACTACAAACTGCATAGACACTTTGAGCCATCAGCCGCAGCCCCATTGGATGAGTTTTAAATTACCAAGCCTCGTAGCTTGCAATGGCGTATACCGCATTTACACTATCTTGTAAGAGACAGTGTGTTTAATGTTTTATCTCACTGATTTTTATGTAATAAAACTAATTTGCACTTTAAAGATCAAATATTGGACTGTACCAATTCATTATTTATACATCATGCTGGCACTTTATTAAGCCTACTTGCACAAAGCAAATATTGAGCTATACCATACATATTATACACTTTATATATACCTAAACTGTCTGCAACAATATTTGTGTTTTTCCTAATACAGTACATGCAATGAGATGTTTGATCTGGTGCCATCTGCTGGTCAATAAGTATACCACACCACCTTTAAACTCAAAGACGTTGTTCTAGCTCTTTTTGGGTTTTCACCTAAACACTACTTCACGCAGGAAGGGAAGATGGAAGTTGTACCCTATCATTGTCCTCCTCCAGATCCACCGGCAAGTGCATCCAACAAACCTGTTGATCTTCCTGGCGGCTCAGAGATTGACCCCACACATACAGAGCCAGAGTTCCAGGCCATTGCGAACCTGTCGCAAACCTAATCAATGAATCCCTGCTGTCTGGATACATATCCAAACTTTAGAAGACTGCAAGTATAGTTTCTATCCATAAAATTGGTGACATTACTTTGGTTTCTAACTATCGTCCAATATCATTGCTCCCTGTTTTTTCAAAAATCCTGAAAAAATGTGTTCACATGCAACTATGTGAGTACTACAAACAAACTATCTAATCCATGATTGATCAGGCTTTTGTCCAAACTACTCAACTACAATGCCCTCTCAAAAGTTTGTAATGACATCAAACCTGGCATGGAACAAGGCGACTGTAATGATACTAAAGTTACACATGGTTTGGAGTCCAGCAACCAGATCAGCAAGGTTTTCTGCCAGAAGTAGCCACTCGTTACCCAGGTTGTTGAGCCCCTGAGTCTTGAGTGGTCTTGAGCAGACATGAGAGACTGGGACAGAAAGCTGGTGACTTAGTAAGGCAAGCTGAGGTCAGTGGGAAGGAGATGCAGTACATTCAGATGGTCCAAATTCAGCGAGTAGAACAAATAGGAACAAACTTGATTAGAGAGACACAGAAACCACAATAATCTGGCAAAGATACAGAGACAGGAAGTGGCTTTTATAGGCCAAGAGCTAAATACCTCACCAGACATAGCTGAAGAAAGTTGGCACAAATATCATGTCTTGTAGCATCAAGGTTATCACAGCTCAGGTAAAGCTGCATAGGGTAGGCTGGTGAACTGGTAAGGTAGAGAACCAGCAACACAGAAATCAAGGTTTGAACAGAGTTAGCTCTACACAGAGACCTAATTGGAGCTATTTTCATTTTGCCAAGGCTTTTGACACATTAGACCACAGCATTCTATTGCAAAAACTTAAAAACTGGTGATAGTCCGCTAACCTGGTTTCAATCATATGTATTGGATCGATCACAATATGTGTTCATTTCTGACAGTGCCTCCCTCTCCCAGTCTCTTGTTGTGTTCCCCAAAGTTCCATACAAGCCTACTACTATTCACATTACTCATAAATTTTCTGCCTAACATCTAAAAAGCCTCATGCTAGCAAACCATATCTACCCCAGCTTGAGGCTGTGCTCCTGTTCACAGAGGTAGAAAAGCCAGGAAGAGGTATGGAACAGTACCTACATTACATGAATTACAAATTACATATGCATCAGAATACAATTGAAGAGCACACAGATCGCAGTCCATTCTTTCAAATATCTAGGTATGTCACTAGACTGCAATCTTTCCTATACAGAAACAAATCTGGTAGAATTGTTCAACAAATGCTAATCCCAGTCAGTGATTATGGGGACATAGTGTATGCACCTGCACCGCAAACCCACTTTCATAAACTTACTACACTGTATAAGTCATTCTGCTGCTTTGTGCTACAATGTAATTATGTGATCTACCATTGTGACATGCTAAAAGAGCTAACCTGGCTAAATCGTTGTGATCCAGACATACCCTTAAAGGACCATTATAGGCACCCAGACCACTTCAGCTCAATGAAGTGGTCTGAGTGCCTGGTCCCCCTAGTTTTAACCCTGCAGCTGAAAACATAGCTGTTTCTGTTATGTTTACATTGCAGGGTTAATCCAGCCTCTAGTGGCTGTCAGTGAGAATATCGCAATGAACTCACGCAGCGTGAGTTCAGATCCCCATAGGAAAGCATTGAGTAATGCTTTCCTATGGGCAGTTTGAATGCGCGCGCGGTTCTGGCCACGCATGCGCATTCGGCTCCACTCAGGAGCTGACGTCGGCAGAGGAAGGTGAGGTCACCAGCACCGAGGGAGCCCGGCGCTGGATTAAGGTAAGTGGATGAAGGGGTTTTAACCTTCAGCCTAGCGGGAGTGTGAGTGTGGCCACGAGGGAGGGGGGGACCGAATAACCCTAAAGTTAATCTTTCCAGCCTTACATTTAAGAGCTTTTCTGGGAGGTTGCCACCCTACCGTAACAGAATACTCTGCCCAGATGTTCCCACCTACTATAACATCTGATCCAGTACCAGCACTTTATTTAGTCTACCACAATACAAAACGAAAGTGTCTCGATCCTCATTTTTCTACAGAGGATCGCAATTAGGGACTAACCTCCCAGGCACAATCAAATCTTCCTCCAGTCTAAAATCCTTTAAGAGATTCCTCTCAACATACCGTATTTATCGGCGTATAACACACACTTTTTCTCCCTGAAAATAGGGGAGAAATTGTGGGTGCGTGTTATACGCCGGCCCTTTAAATTCTGCAGCCGCCTGAGCGCTCTGTCAAGAGCGCTCAGGCGGCTGCAGATGGTACTCACCTCCCCTGTAGCGTGGCCGAGCCGCTCTGCCGTCCGCGGTGGCCGGCCGGACTGATAGGAAGGTGCACGCTCAGTGTGCACCTTCCTGTCAGTCCGACCGGGTACAGGAAACAGAAACTCCTGTTCCAACAGGAGTTTCTGTTTCCTGTACCATCGATTGACAGGAAGGTGCACACTGAGCGCACCTCCTATCACTCCGGCCGCCACCGGGACAGCAGAGCTGCGGCCACGCTACAGGGGAGGGGGGGGCGAAAGAGGAGGGGCCAAAGAGGGAGGGGGCTAAAAAGAGGAGGGGAGGCCAAAAGAGGGCAGGGGGCAACAAGAGGAGGGGGCCAACAAGAGGAGGGGGGCAACAAGAGGGAGGGGGGCAACAAGAGGGAGGGGGGCTAACAAGAGGGGAAGGGGCAACAAGAGGGAGGGGAAGTAAGAAGAGGGGAGGGGGAGTAAGAAAGTAAGAAGAGGGGGAGGGGGGTAAGAAGAGGGGTAAGAAGGGGGTAAGAGGGGGAGTAAGAAAGGGGGGTAAGAAGTTCTTTATTTAAAATTTAAAGGACCACTCTAGGCACCCAGACCACTTCAGCTTAATGAAGTGGTCTGGGTGCCAGGTCCCTCTAGGATTAACCCTTTTTTTTTTTTTATAAACATAGCAGTTTCAGAGAAACTGTTATGTTTATACTGAGGGTTAATCCAGCCTCCAGAGCCTCTAGTGGCTGTCTCATTGACAGCCGCTAGAGGCGCTTGCGTGCTTCTCACTGTGAAAATCACAGTGAGAGCACGCAAGCGTCCATAGGAAAGCATTGTAAATGCTTTCCTATGCGACCGGCTGAATGCGCGCGCGGCTCCTGCCGTGCATGCGCATTCAGCCGATGACGTCGCGAGCAAGGAGGAGAGGAGGAGTACAGCTCCCCGCCCGGCGCTGGAGAAAGGTAAGTGTTTAACCCCTTCCTCTCTCCAGAGCCCGGCGGGAGGGGGTCCCTGAGGGTGTATAACACGCACCTCATTTTAAGAAGGAAATTTCAGGGGGGAAAAAACTTAAAGGACCACTATAGTGCCAGGAAAACATACTCATTTTCCTGGCACTATAGTGGTCCTTTAAGTTTTTTTTCCCTGAAATTTCCTTCTGAAAATGAGGTGCGTGTTATACGCCGGTGCGTGTTATACGCCGATAAATACGGTATCTCAATACAGAATGCACCTGTATACATGGCTGATTATATTTCTTACCTGTATCTGTTAAATTTGTATATGTGTACTCGAAAACAAGAGAAATCTCAATGTATCCCTCCTGGTGAAATATTTTATAAATAAATAAGATGGGGGCCCATCTGGCCCCTGTCTTAGCCCAAGACCTAGGCAGCTGCCTTATGGGTAATACATTTCATTGAAATTTGACCAGTGTGTTAGATCTGTTATAACTAGGAGAAAGTTGAAATGTGTGGGTGTGTATGTAAAGTAAAATAAATAGGTTGTAATTGACACACAACTAAATTCCAAATTCCAACATTAAGAAGACTGACCTCGGCACACCGCAGTATGTTATAATTGTGGTTTTATTCACCATCAAACAGGATGTCACATTGTGTTTGACGGGTGAATAAAATCCCAATTAAATCAGATTGCTTTCTGCTGATGTCTCTGTCTTCTATTTATACTGTTAAACAGGTCAAAATTATTTTTATATATTTACATTGATAATATGAAGGTCATTGTGGTGTGTATAGAACATTTGTTTTTATATAAGTATAATTTGTTCCTGGATTCTTGGTTTAATTAGTATGTACTCTGTATCTTGCAATGACAACACGACTGTGTTCACACTTAATTATGTAAAGGGAGAATTGTTATGTCTCTGGAAATTACACCATTAAATAAAACATTGCAAATCACCTATAACCTATGTTAACAGAGTTTTCATGTAATGATTTTTATGTTCCTTTAAATTTATTTTTTTCCATTTGACATCCCAATCCAGTTCAATCTAGACATAGATCAGGCACACCTTGCAAATGAGGAAGAGAAATAGAAACATTGTTTAATTTCTCTTTTCTGTGTGCTTCCTCTGTGCTGACTGCCTGATGGCCCGGACTGCGCGGCGTTGGCCATGGGCCATGGTCGACAGGGGAGATCAGTGTACCTTCCCTGCCGGCTCACCGGACCACCAGGGATTTTCTACCTGACCACCAGGGCTGGCAACAAAAAGATAAGGGAGGTACATAAATATTATAATAAAAAAATAATAATTAAAAAATAATACACATATATATGTTTTTTATTTTTACCTCACAGCAGCCCAAACATCACACTACACCCCCCCCACACACACACTACACCTCAAACACACGACAACCCAAACACCACACTGCACCCCTCACACACACACACAGCACCTCAAACACAACAGAGCACCAAAGACACCGGAGACATGTCACAAGCAAACACAGCGCAAGCATTTTAATAAATTTGCTTGCGCTGCATAGAACAAATACAGGTCCTTTTGTTCATTCAAGAGCTCTTCAGCTTGGCTCTGCACATTGAAAACAACCCCCGTGTCTGGCCCACCCCTTTCTCAGTAGGCTGCTGGGTTTCAAAAATGCCCGGGCTAAATTTTTTTCCCAGTCCGGCCCTGGACAGAGGTTATAACAATGATTGACAGGGAGCCAAGATGGAGGCACCCATTGCAAGGCCATAGAACAGCGAATTGTTACATTTATTTATTTTTTCACATTTCTTTATTGTATATTTGTAAAATACAAGAGGTAAGTAAACATATTAAAAATCCTGGGGAGTTATATTTTCTCTTTAATTATCTTGTATACAGAGTGAATCATGGCTTCTGTGATGACTGGGCCCCCACAATCCTGCTGTGTATTGTGCGTATGTTAAGCTTGTACTCTATTCACAATGGCTATAGTGTGATAGATACTTAACCACATTTTCTGTGACATCCGAAGTGCTAAGAGCCACTACAGAGGAGATCAGAGTTTGTCAGAAGGGCGTGCTCAAAGAAAAGGAAAAATTAACTTGTTTATTTATCACTCTGTCCTCTTTTCATCTTCTGAACAAATGGAGCTTTGTCTACAGTTTCTCTGCAAATTTATTGTCCTCACTTCGTTTAACAGAATACTACGAACTGGTAAGAAAGAACTGATAATGTTACAGTCATAACTTTTTAAATTAATCAAAATATCTGAATAATTTAATGAAAAAAATTAGTTTAAAATATAAATAAAATAGTTTAAAATTTAAATAAAATAGTCATCAAGTCTGAAAGTACCCACTTAGAACATTATCCTCAGGAGGATACTTTATAAACGTGAAGTGACCAGAAATAGTGTAACATTCGGAAAGTGTAGAAATCATTCAGAACTTTCCACAGGATTCTATAATGATCTATGTTACATGTTTCGTACTTGGTATCACTTTTATAATCCACTCGTAATATAAATTTCCCTCTCTCTCTTCAGTAGAATAATAAACAAGCTGAAATCTTAAATGCATTACGTGATAGTTAAAACTAGTCTGCATACAGAGAGACAAAATTTAAAAAAATAATATAAAGTATGCCTCTTACCTACTTTAAATGGAAATGAAAGACCACCAAAAGCCCTAGTTTGACTATATCAATGTCAGTCTTGAAAAGGAATGCACTCCATAAAATAGTATGACAATGCTTCAAGTACATGTAGAATAATCAGGTTTTTTGGCGTTTCTCCTATATTTATTTCACACTTAGGCATGGTTGGTCTTTAGTGACATGGACACATGATAATACATATTGCAAGCTCTTTTCTATTTCTTTGGGTCCATTGAGCATGGCGACAATCTAATAAGGTTATTAGAAATGCCAACAGGAATATTGTATTAATAGCATTGACATTGTAATGATAACGTATTCCTGAACTCATTTGTGTGGTGTAGACATAGAATGTATTGTGAGACAGAACATCGAGGGGAGGGCGTCTCCACCTAACACTCTGAATGTCCAGTAAATACCATCAGCTATTGACCATTTAACACCAATGATGCTGTAAGAATTGACTTTGTATTTCTGAAGAAAGAAGAATAAATCTGTTGTTTTATAAGAAAAGCCAGGAAGGTCTGATTTTGTTATATTTTTTGTGTGTCAAAAAACAGCTTTTGTAGATGATACCAGGCGAGTCAAGCTTACCAGAAGAAAGAAGAATCATATACATATATATTAACAATCAAGTAGTATCATAAGTAGTATTTTTTATAATATTTTGTAATATATTTTGTACAGTAGCCTCACACACTCTCCCCACCCGTTCCTTCTCTGATATGCTCATGGTTTCTTGGGGTCTCAGATTGAGGACATTCTATGGTTTGTAGTGATCACTGATGGTCCATCTACCAGAATTTAATTGCCAGAGTGATCACTGTAAGAATTCTTATTAGGTCTCAGTTTTGATCATGTTAGTTGAGGTAGATGAACTCTCTATGAGGAGGTTGGGTATTATCGAGTTAAAATATTTGAGTTAAAAAAATATAACATATTTTGAAAATAACATAACAGAAGAAAACCATATATTGGAATCTTAAATTGCTTTTCTAGGGATTAGGTCAGGGCATTGAAACATTTGGCTTTTTGGTTTACGTTTAGACGTTAATAATTAGAATAATAACTAATTAGAATCTTTCTTGTGCGCAGTTTAACTTGAAAAGGTTTTTAGCTCTGGAGCTTGGAACAATTATTATCCATCATTTTCAAGAAAGCCATAGCGACACTGGCTGAGTTATTCCCTAAAGTGAGAAATTCAAAGTGTCAATTCACTCTTAAGTTAATAACCCTGTAAGGATACTTTGTAATGAGTTGTGATCCTGTCCTGTTTATAGGAGATTACATGTTGAGGATTATTCATTAAACTCTGAAATGAACCAAATTAAAACGTGAATGGCAAAATATATACATCTTACTCGTCTTGACGTCCTGTATACTATTAAAAAACATTTCCACTCACGCTCACTCACTCACTCACTCACTCACTTTTTTTGGTTTTAAATAACATGTAGACTATCCGCACTTCGCGTGCGGACACCGCCACGGAATTTTGTTGTATAGCAATCACAGTTTTCAATCTAACACCAAAAAAATTACGTGAAGACCAAATGCTGTACGAGGTGGGTCTTACAAATTGCACTCTAAGCATATGCTGCCCTACATAAGAAACCAGGCTACAATATATGGCTAAACATAACTTTGAGCTGGACCACAGGGAGGGGGAGAACAATATATTGGCTATTTTCATGTATGTAGAGAGGTCTGACTCAGATGAGAATCGGCTCGTGCTCTATAAATGCTAATGATAATCATACTGGTCAGGCCACAAACGGCTGCCTATAATACATTTACTGTAGTGATGTGGTCTACTATAGATGTGCACCCAATGGTGAGCGTATGTCTGAGTGATATTGCAGTAACTGTTTGCAGGGACAATCTGCACATCCAGAAACTGAAATTTCAGAAGCCGAATGCCACGCTGGGGAAGATTGGTGCTGGAGGCAACTTTGGGGTTAAACTGTTCAAAAACGGTTTAACCCCTTGAGGTAAGAGTGTGCCCAGGCCTCTTGGCATCATAACAACTTAATTTAGATTAAGTTGTTTTGGTGCCTTCAGTGCCACTTTAAGATAAATGGTGACATTTTGCAAAAATGAAAATATCAGTCAGGTTAATCAAAAAGTAGTTTCTAATCTTGAAAACGAATGCCCTCTTAAAGCATCAAATTAAGTTATAGTTCTTTAAAGAGACACTGTAGGCACTGTATCTGCTTCATCTCATTAAACTGGTTATAGTGTCTGGAGTCCTCTGGTACCATCATTTCTTTCAGCATTAAACAGTTTTTAAACTTTTAATGTTTTAATGCTAAACAAGAGTCCCCGGCAATCCATCCCCTCTGTGCTGCTTTGGCTAATAATGAAGTATTAGCCTGAGCAGCAATAGGCAGCTGTGATTGGCTGACAGTGTCAGCTGACTGCTTTTAGCCTGTCAGAGTTCTAACTGACGGTATGAATAGGTATGACAACAAGGAAGTGTGTAATCTCTGCCTTAGCTACACATACTGAAGGGGCCGGACTGTGGGTGGGCAGGGACTCTTATTTTGTGGCATACTGCACGAACATGGTGCAACACTGAATGGAGGGACAGTGCCAGGGCACTCCAGGCACTATCACCAATTCAAAGAGATGAAATGCTTATAGTGACTACAGTGTCCCTTTAACTACAATTTACAGCACATATGCATCAGGTACCCAACTGTCCACTATGAGGAGCATTGGATTGGAAGGTTGTGGAGGAGACCAGGTCTCCTTAAAGGTTAGAGATAACCACAAATGAGAAGGACTTGGGAATTGTTATAGACATCAAACTATGCAACAATGTGCAATGTAAATCAGCAGTGGCCAAGGCCAGTAAGGTATTGTCATGCATGAAAAGGGTATTAATTCTCAGGATGAGAATATCATTTTGTCTCATTATAAATCACTGGTAAGACCACATATGGAATATGCTGTGCAATTTTGGGCACCTGTTCTAAAGAAGGATATTATGGCACTAGAAACAGAGCAGAGGCAGGGCTCCAAAATTAATAAAAGAAATGGAACATTTTAGCTATGAAGAAAAGGTTAACAAATGTAAACTCTTTAGTTTAGAAAAATGTTGCCTCGTAGGGCATATGATAACATTATACAAATATATTCGGGGCCAATACAAACCATTGTGGGGAAATCTATTCACAAACCGGACTTTACATAGGACACGAGGCCATGCGTTTAGACTGGAAGAAAGAAGATTTTGTCTAAGGCAAAGTAAAGGATTTTTTTACTGTAAGATCAATTAGGATGTGGAATTCTCTGCCTGAAGAAGTGGTTTTATCAGAGTCCATACAGATGTTCAAACAGCGACTAGATGCATACTTGCAAAAACAGAATATTCAAGGTTACAATTTTTCAATGTAGGGTAAATGCTTCTTTTTCCAATGATTAATTTGACTGCTATTCTGGGGTCAAGAGGGACTTTTTTTCCTAGTTTGCTGCAAAATTGGAAGTGCTTCAAACTGGGTGTTTGTTTACCTTCTTTTGGATCAACAGCAAAAGACAAATGTGAGGAAGGCTGAACTTAACTTAACCCAGACCACTTCAGCTCAATGAAGTGGTCTGGGTGCCAGGTCCTTCTAGTGTTAACTCTGCAGCTGTAAACATAGCAGGTTTAGAGAAACTGCTATGTCCACAAATGGGTTAATCCAGCCTCTAGTGGCTGTTTCACTGACAGCCTCTGGCGGCGCTTCCGCGCTTCTCACTGTAAAAATCACAGTGAGAAAACGCTGACGTCCATAGGAAAGCATTGAGTGATTCTGATCTGACATCGGCAGGAGGAGGAAAGTAAGTGGTTGAAGGGGTTTTAACCCCTTCAGCCCAGCAAGAGTGGGACCCTGAGGGTTGGGGGGAACTAAAGACCCTGTAGTGCCAGGAAAATGAGTTTGTTTTCCTGGCACTATAGTGGTCCTTTAATGGACACATGTCTCAGCCTATATAACTATGCAACCTCAACACAATTTTAATAAAATGAAACATTTAGAAAGGAAATTGATTGTTAAATTAAGGATATGTAAAAATAAATAAATAGAAAAACTCTCTACCTTTGTATATGACAGCCATATGCATACACCTTGGGTCAGACAGTGTTTGAAAACAGTTAGTCTCTATGGTCTTCCCTGCATTACTTCCTTCACAGAGACATCATCAGACTGACCGACAATCACATTCAAACAATGTCTGACCCAAGCTGCATGTATATGGCTGAATGATCCTCTCCTACACTAAAGGTAGAGATGAGTTTATCATTTTTTCAACATGTAATAAATTTAACAAAGAATCAATTTCTGTTCAAAACGTGATAAAAGGATCATTATATAAAATATAGTGCTGATTGACAGTTCTCCTTTAATGACATTGCAGAAGGTAGAGAGGTGGGCAGTGCCGAGGGAGTATTGATGCTTTAAAAAGGTAAGTAAAACATTTTTTACATTTACATTTTATGGTGACGGGGATGGGGGTCCTGTATAGAACTACAGACAGGGGCGCTATAGCATTATGAATAAAAGTTTGTATGCTTTAATTGGATGTTGTGTTTTCTACAACAGCTGTTGCAGAGGATCTCCTGGTGGTGGAGCAGCCTGCAGTCATTGAAAGCATAACTGGAACATCTGTGACCATCAACTGCACTTTTAGGACACAAGGTTTGTCTTTCTCCGTGAGATGGTATTTGGGCTGTGATAAAAGCACACCATTGGAGACTTTACCTTCTTATCGACATAGAGTGACCTTCCAGAACCTCAACCGACAGCTGACCCTATCCAACCTGACAGAGAGTGACTCTGGAACATACTACTGTCATGTGGAATTGGCCAATGGGAAAATGGGAACTGGAAATGGAACTAGACTGGAAGTGTCACCAAGACAATGTAACTCAGGTATTACCGAGCACATTAAACAACATGTGATACCATTGTGTGTTAAGTGGTATTATTTAACTCCTGAAAAACCAGGGCTCACTCATCAAATCACTTTAGTGGCAACAAAGAAATTAATTTTACACAACTGTAATTTAACAGGTGCTCTCAGACTTTCACGCTTTTAGAGTGGGTTGGTTAGTCACTCTCACATAAAGACAGTGAATATTAACACATTGTATGACGATCTGATGCAGTGGCGGATCCAGAGCCAGATCTCGGGAGGGGCACTTGTAGATTATTTAAATAAATAATCCAGGCACAATAACCACTAGAGCTCAGTGTAGTAGTTATGGTGCCAGTAGTGCCATGATCCCATTTCAGAGTAAGTAGTCAAACCGTTTAAGAACAGTTTGACAACTTACCTGGGGTCTGCTGGGATATAGGGCATAGGAGCAGTGGTATGTGTGAGGGGTGAAGTGTGTGTGAAGGGTGCAGTGTGTGTGTATGTGTGCGGTGAAGTGTGTGTGTAAGTGCGTAAGTGCGGCAGTGTATGTCAGGATTGCAGTGTGTGTGTGGGGCAGTGTGTGTGAGAGTTGCAGTGTATGTGTGTTTGGGGCAGTGTGTATGGGGGTCACTGTATATGTGTGTGGGGCAGTGTGTGTATGGGGGGCACTGTATGTGTGTTTGGGGCAGTGTGTGTATGGGGGGCACTGTGTGTGTGTGTGTGTGTGTGTGGGGCAATATGTGTATCGGGGCAGTGTATGTGTGTATGTGTAGGGCACTGTATGTATGTGTGGGACAGTGTGTGGATGGGGGGGTCATGTGTATGGGGGGGGCGTGTGTGTGTGGGGCAATGTGTGTATGGGTGTGCAGTGTATGTGTGTAGGGGGGCAATGTGTCTATGGGTGTACAGTGTGTGTGTATGGGTGGTAGTGTTTGTGGGGCAGTGTATGCGCTGGGTGTGCAGTGTGTGTGTATGGGGCAGTGTTTGTGGGGGCAGTGATGAATGGGGGCGTGTGTATGGGGGCAGTGTATGTATGGGAGCAGTGTGTGTGTATGGTGTGCAGTATGTCTCTGTGTGTGTGTGTAGAGGCAGTGTGTTGGAGTGCGCAGTGTGTGTGTATGTGTGAGGCAGTGTGTGTGTGCATGGGGCAGTGTGTGGGCAATGTGTGTGTATGGGGGCAGTGTGTGTGGGGGGCAGTGTTCGTGGGGCAGTGTGTGTGTGTGGGGGCAGGTGTGTGTGTGTGAGAGGCAGTGTGTGTGTGTATGGGGGCAGTGTGTGTGGGGCAGTGTTCGTGGGGCAGTGTGTGTGTGTGGGGGGCAGTGTGTGTGTGTATGGGGGCAGTGTGTGTGTGTGTGGGGCAGTGTGTGTGTGTGTATGGGGGAGCAGTGTGTGTGCATGAGGGAAGGACGGTGAGGGGGCTTTTTAATAATGTTTTTTTTATTTATTTAATTAATTAAATAAGCAGATTTATGTTCCCCCTCCCTTCTTACCTTTATTGAGGAGGAGGGGGGGCATTTCTGGATCCCTGGTGGTCCCAGTGGTAGGATTGAACTCTAGCCCCCACCTCTTGGGCCAGAGTTCACTCTTGCGAGATTTGGAGTGTTGCCATGGTAACCGCAGCAACGCTCCGTGCTCGCGAGAGTAGGACCCGGAGGAGCAGCAGGCTGAACTCCCGGGGTCCTCTCTCCCTCCCTCCCCTTCTAGCTGTCAGCATCGTGCCTGCGGCCCGGGGAGAGAGATCTCTGATCTCCCCTCAGGTCCGTGAAGGCACATTGCAGGGCTGGCACTTGGACAATGCCAGCCCTTCATTAGCCAGCAGGGGAGAATCTCGGGGGAAGCAGTTGCCCCGCTACCCCCCCCTCATCCCCACCGGATCCCCCAATGAGCTGATGTGAAAGTACAGAGGGCAATAGAGTATGCTGATTCAGCGGTGGAACTACAACAGAGAGGGCCCTGGTGCAAGGAATTTTTAGGGGCCCACTGTAGAGCAAGATTGGCCAAAAGGTGGACCCTCAACCTTTGTACCACTCCCATGATGGTTTGCTAGCTTGGTATTTACCATTTGCCCATCCTTGCAAGTGTGTATTTGTAAGCAGTGTTTGATTGTTTGAACATAAGCATGTTTTAGTATGGGGTAGATGTGTGTGAATGTATGTGTGTATTTGGGTGTCATGTTGGCCTTTGAATTCAGCTTGTACTTGTGTACAATTTTGGCATTTGTATGAATGGCTGTATTTGTTTGTTGTTTTGATGTCTGAATGTAGTGGTGTGTTTGTGCGTAGTGTTGGTGTTTGAATGCTCAGATGAATGCACATATACACAGACCCTGCCACACACACACACACTGCTACAGATACACACACATACACTACAGCGCAAACACAGATACACTCATACACAAACATATATAACCATAAAGATACGCACAGGCACACAGACACACATGCAAGCAAAAGTTAAAATTTCAATATCTTTAGCCACCCTCCTGTTTCCATCAGTTTTTGGAACAGGAAAGTTGCTTTCCTGAGGTTGATGGGACTGCTGGTTGAGGCTGATGCTGCCTGGGGTCAATGGGACTGCTGGCTGAGGCTAGAACTGGCTCTAATTCCTTTCCCCTTGCCTTCCTGCCTATCCCATGAGGATCTTGCTGTAAGCTTGGAGGAAGTAACCTGGATGCGCTTCCTCCCATCACTGTGGATCTGCCAAGAGCCTGGTTGCACCTTTAAAGGGTTGCTGCACCTGACCAGGCCCCTGATAAAAAAGTGCCCATCAGTTGACCCAAGGTGTAAGGGTCAAACAATGGGCCTTTGACACATGGGCCTGATTAGGGGTCTACTCTACTAATGGGAAATTTATTTTCTGACAAATTCTGTTCCCTATCAAAATCTGTTTCCTTTTACATAATGGCAGTCACTGGAACTCCTCCTGCAGGATCAATGTGGCTGGAGAGGTGGCTTGGTGAGGTCCTACAAGGTTGGTAGACTTACTGTTACACTGAGCTTTACAGTTAGGGGCTCCACTGCTGCACTGGGACACAGGGCATTCAGGGTTAAAGTTAGGAAGTCATAAAGCCTCACTCAATTCTTATTCTAACCCAAAAAGTAAGACTAAAATTAATCCTACACATTATTGTAAACTTAACCTTTTTAAATAGGTGTCCCTAATCTCCAAATGAAAAAAATGACTTCCTAAATCTAACTCTAATTTAAACACTCTATGCACAGAATTGCGAACAGACCAGCCATAGAAGAGACCCTGCACCTGACAGCTTCAGGTAAGAGGGCAAAACGGTTTGCCCCATTACCCAGAGTCAGGGCCACAGTACTCCTTACATTATAATGACTAGATTATGCTGGAGTGGTTATGATGGTTGGAAAAAATCTTTACATTTAAAATTTATAATGAATTTACTTTGAATCCTGACAACTCTCACATTAGTAAATAACTGTGAAATTAATAGCACATATGATAAACACAAAATGCAAATAAAAAAGATGATACAACCTTTAACCATGTCTGTGCCACCAATTAGGATATTCACATCATCTCCTCAATTTCAGGGAATGAAAAAGAACCAGATGCCGTCATACTATACGGCGTTATAGGATTGGAAACTTGTGTCATTATTATCCTGCTGGCAGCGCTAACTAAAATCCTTTCCCGGGGTAAGTCTATGACATCTAAACTTTCTAAATATTCCTGTGTCTGGGTCCTAGAGAATTAGGGGGCTATTTGCCCAACTAGAAATTAAAGAGAATCGATGTGAAACTAAAAAAATACCACTTGTCAATTTTCTCAAAATCCCTGGTTTAGCGAGTAATCACCAGAGATATCCAGGGTGGCCCTGAAGTAGTATAGTTTATTTGTGTTTTATTACATTGTTTATTAAATTTATATTTGTTTAACACTATTTAAACTCTTAAGTACTCGAAAATGTCTTCCATCAACATTGCAACATTCCTCGAACCTGTCCAGAACTCTGCGACACACAGTAGGACACAAAGTCCATTGACGTTAAGCATTTAATGCTGCCACGTCCCTTACTGAAAAAGCATAATGAGGAGGCGGCCCCTCTTTTTGAATGAGCAGTTCGGCAAAGTTAGCCTCGGTTCTGAGTTGTGGCACTACCATGTCACATCACAAGTTTTGGTAATTGTTACTATCCACATTTCTACTGCTTCTACTGAAGAAAACCAGTCCTACAACACCTTCACTGGACAGTGTACCCCATACTGGGACGCCTGGCTGATTCAGGTGAGATGTGATAGTCATATGGGGATTTTCATCTGCCTTATACACACAGTTATGCCTGACGTGGCCAGACAATTAGAAAAAAGCCTCATCTGACCAGATGATCTGGTTTGTTAGAGGTCTGGTAACGCATCATCTCAGATTCTGGGTTGTCCTCCAGAAGACCATGTAACAGTCTTCAGGTTACGCATTAAGCGTTGCAAGGATGGATAGCTGCTGACGCGCACGTTGTTCTTTTTCAGACTATTCACAAATGTCAAAGCGACTCTCATCTCATTTCCCTCTTTCATAGATGTGCTAGGGTGTCCAGACCTCAGTGCATTAACCACTGCACCTGTTGCTTCAAATTTATCTCGAATACAATAAATTGTCAGATGTGTTAGTGGAGTAATGTGAAAGGCTTCTTGCCATGCTTTGCACACCCGCTGGCATTTTTAGTCATCTATTTATTCAACTGTATAGCTACTTTTGTGCCACCCTGTATATCGACATGGTCCAGTGCTAGGAGCTGTGATCCAGCCATTAAAGGACAATACTATTTAATTTGGTTTTATAGATATACTCCAAAAGAAAACCTGCATGCATTTCATTCTGCATGTTGTTTTTGGTGGAATATGAAAGTTGGCTTGCAAAAACTGCAGAGGTGCTGACATCAGGCTTTGCAAGTCCTCCTCGACTTTACCCCCAACATAGACAGAGTCTGACAATTCAGTGAGAAATCCCTGTGCTGGAGACTCAAGCGCACATGCAATCACGACTTTCCAATGCTTCTCAGTGAGCTGTAGTACATTCTGTTAGCTAATAAACGGTCCGAAAATGACAGACTAGACACAAAGTATATCAGGAAGTTGGAAGGAATTTATGTGTCTGCATTCCTTTAATCCGTTCACTACCAAGCGGTTTGCATAAAAGCCACCTCCAGAATTCGAGTAATTTGGGGCTCCTGGGAAGTAATGTTTAAATGTATTTTAATTTCAGTATGCGTAGATAGCACATTAAATGGAAACAAAACTGAAAATTTTGGTTGGACATAAAACCTTGATTTACCAAATAATGAAGTAACAGGCAAGGAAATAGTGTTCTAAATCATTATATACGTATTGTATAATTATATGTGTTATCACATTGCCATAATGTTGCCCAACACATATCAGCCTCATTGCAGTGGTTGGACTCACACATACTAACACATGCACACACATACATATCTCAAATTCTCTCACCCAAAATATGAATTACTACATGTACATTGCATATTGATGAAATACATTCACTCAAAAGAAAACGGATTGTGCAGAAAATGATGTTGGTAAACTACAGATATAAATAAAAATATGCTGACAAGGGTAGGGTGATTGGCAGTTACTAGCTCCAAATTAAACCTGTTTTTTTACAGACTTAGAGCAGCATGAGAAGTGGGGTGAGAAAGGTACAGAAGGATAACATTAAGGAACACTATAGGGTCAGGAACAAAAACATGTATTCCTGACCCTATAGTGTTAAAGACACTATCTAGCACCCTTGGCCCTCCTAAATATAGTAAAATCTTACCTTTATTCCAGTCTGCTGATGCTGGTTCTGCCCCTGAACCGCCTCCTTGGATGACATAATCAGAAGTGACAAACTCAGCCAATCACAATGCTTTCCCATAGGAAATGTCAGCCACAGTGTGCAGCACTGCCCCATGAAGCCCTTGTAGTAGCCATCTGAGGATTGGCCACTGGAGATATCCTTAGGCTGTAATGTAAACACTGCTTTGCTCTCAAAAAAAAGTGTTTACTGCAAAAAGCCTGCAGGGACTGACTATACTCGCCAGAACAAATACAATAAGCTGTAGTTGTTCTGGTGACTGTAGTGTCCCTTTAATGAATGCAGTGTAGATTTTAATGCATTCATGGTGGCTGTTTTGCAATGTGCAATATTATTTACTAGCAAAGGGAAGCAATCGATGCAGCATCGAGCTTCTAAGGATCTTCAAAGGAAAAAAAAATATAGTTGTCTAATATTATATAACTAAAGTGAAATGTGTCACAGTGAGAGTTATAGTCCAACAACCAATAGATTATGCAAGCTCCTGTCTGGTTAATGGCAGCTCAATTAACTGTACGGTTTCTTTTATAGGTCCGACTGACTCTAAGAACAAGGTGGGTAGACTCGTTATTTCAGTATCATCTTTATAAGAAAGACCATCTCATTAGAAGGGTTTGTATAACTAAAATGAAGAGGTCCAACAAATATTGGCTGTGAAATGCAGTGAGTGAGACTGCTTTCTAATGAGTGACACTGCTTTCTAATGAGTGACACTGCTTTCTAATGAGTGAGACTGCTTTCTAATGAGTGACACTGCATTTTAACAGGGGTGGACTGACAATTCACAGGGCCCCTGGGCAATGGGAGACCAAGGGCCCTCTTCTGGTGCAAAGTTTTTTGGCTGCTGCTACTTTTCTCCCCCTACTTTGTGTGGCTCTCACACAGATTGTATATGCATGCTGCCAAGCACCCATAATGGCTGTGTGAGAACCAACAAGGCCTCCAAACAGGGTCAGATTTGCTTTAAATAGGTTAATCCAACCAAAAACAGTTTTTTAATAAAACACTGTTTTTGAATGGGGTAACCATGACTGGCATGCCTCCATCTCATCCCCTCCCCCATCCCCACTAAAATGAAGAAATAAAGAAAATGTAATTATACGCTTTCTCTGTGTTTGCTGGTGACATCGCAAGCAGCGTCCCCCACATTTGTTTTCAATCATACAAGTCCATGTAAGTAGCCTCCAAACGTGTGTGTAGGCTGCTTGTGGGGTTCAGTGTGTGGGATGCTGCTTGTGATATTGTGTTACTGTATGTCAACGTGTTGTGTTAGAATTGTTTGTCTTCTTATTGTACTGCGCTGCAGAATATGTTGGTGCTATGTAAATGATTGTAATAATTGTGTGTGTGTGTGTAAGGAGGCTGTATGCAGTATTGCAATGGTGGGGATTCTGCTTGTGATAAGTGTTCGTAGGGAGGCTGCATGTGGTTTTCCATGTGTGGGGATGCTGCTTGTGGGATTGTGTGCATACAGTGAGGC